CTACCACAGGAGGTGACAAGCACACAGTTGTTTCCAAAACAGTTTAGGATTTCTATCCTCTACTGCTGTTACTGGAAAGCTCTTCCAGAATCCCATTACTCTGATGGCTAGAAGCTTTCTTCTAGTTTCCAGCCTGAAAACTTGTTCTAGATCAGCTTGCTCTCATTCATACATCCAAACACTTACAGCTGCTCTTTAACAACACAGAGGAACTGTGGGCTTGAAGCTGGAGTTGTATTAAGGTATGTACGAATGCTTTCATTTTATACAGGTCCAAAATATACTCTGTGCTGCTAAATATTAAAAAACATTAAATGCTGCTAAACATTAAAGAAAGACTCCATACACAGCAAGATACACCCAGTGGGCGGAAGGCAGGAAGCTCAGTGCAACTGCCTGCTGCCTTCATCCAATCACATCTGAGATGACACTTCTTCCTTTTATGCAATAAACAGCACCAGATACCTTCCATCCCAGGAGGATGGGCCAGGCCCTGTCCCACTAGATGGCACTCACTTACTACACGGTTCTTTCATTAAACATTTCATTGGAGCCAGCTAAAAGTCTTAGCTGAATCACACAAAATTGTACCACAGCTTTCCCAATATATTCCCTTGAAGACAGTGACCTACCAATGCCAGTGCGGAGCATGACGGACGGAGGCTTGGGGGGGTAGGGAGGGAATTTGAAGCACCAACCTGGGAGGGAATGTAGTAGCTGAAATTAATATTGCAACCAAAATTTGCTGCAACATAGTAGAGTCATGCTAATTTATATCAATGGTTGGCTGATCTATTGCAAATTAGCAAGAATGCAAGTAAATAAATATATTGTTTGCAGTAAGTGTAATGCACTTTAACAGTTTACTGGCTAGTACAACGTAAAACCCTGTAACAACAGGTAAAAATAAAACTCAGTAACAGAACAGCTTTGCTCAAAGTGAGGCCTCCAACAAATGAGGCTTTTTTCCCTGGATTGCTTTAAAAACAAGTTTTCAATATTCACCCCTACAGAAAAGGGCACGTACTTTCTGCTCCAAACATATTGGAAACATAATTAAGATTTGCTTTCCTGTATCTCTCAAAGGTTATTCCTTTAAAAGGAAGAGTTCCTAACATTCTTTGTGAAAGCTAAGTACATTGGTACTGCTTTAAAGCTATACCAGTATCTATGCTTTTAGCTGTTCTAGTAAGATGTTTGGGTTTATCTGCACTGGTACAGCTAAAGAGTCTGAAGCGACAAAACGGGGGCCAGGAGGCAAGAAACAGGTGATAAAGTACACGAAAATTTGTAACACTGAAACAAGATCACAGTACAGTAAATGCCATCAATTTTCATGCAATAAAAAGAACTTAATATGTTAAAAGTCGTAAGAGTAGGGGAAAAGATAAAAAATCCCCACACTCTTACTTCAGCAACTGAAATTGTTACCTCTTAACTTCTAGTGTTAATCTTTCTTACAGCTGAGCATTTGGCTTCCTTTTGCTCTCTTCCCAGACTCAACTCTGTCTGAGAGGCAGAGCAGAAAGAAAAGTGAAAATCCAAACAAAACTCTTTCAAGTTTTGAATCACTTTGTGTTTTTCAGAGAAATGCGGCATCTACAAGGTTTTATCTCAAAACAATTTTAAATGGCTTTAGAAAATCATCTAACAATGTGTTGCTTTACCTTCATGTTCAAAATTCAGTATCTCCCTCAAAAATTAACTCATTATCCCTGACCTAGTTTAAAATGAGTTCTGTCACCATTTCATTGCTCAGAAAGTCTGACATTAACACTACCAGCACCTTGAGAACTCGCAGCTTAATGCCAGGACACAAAGCAATGACACAAGGTTGTTACTCAGGTGCCTTGCTTTAGATAGTGCCTGACCAAGTGGAAGCTGTACATGAGGATAAAGATGGGATTTTATTGGCAGGTTGTGGATCAGACACAGGAGAGCTGCCATGCAAACATTTTTTTGTATGTTCTGTCTGATGGGGTAGAAAATTTTAGCTCCTGCACCCCCAAAGAATAGGACTCAATGTTTCAGTCTGGTTATGTGTTGTATCCAACACACAACACTTGAAACTGTATCCCATCAGCAGCCAAATTCAGCTCTCAAAGGTGTTATTGGAGAAAGGAAGGGCCAGATGAGACTTCCAGTTCTACAATGTTGTCATGGAGTTTTTTGGGCACACAAGATGCCTTAAGGTAGAACAATTCCTAAGAACTTAATTAGAGCCCAAAATCTTCTGTACAGCAAAACATCTGCTCAGAGATCCCATTTTCATTCCTCTCTAACATACTTCACAGATTAGAGTTCAAAACACAACAAGTGACAGAGAATTTGTTTGCAAAGATAAATTATCCATGTAGAAATCAAAAAAACCCAATCCAAGCACAAGGCAGGATGGCTAAGCAGTCATACCTGTCACCACAGGTACTCACACTCACCTTGGCAACCCCAACCCCGGTGAACCTGGCCTCCAGGAGCTCCTGCCTGCGTGGGTCCAGGCTATGCAATTCTTCCATCATTTCTGCTGCTATGGAAGAATAACACTCAGATTATGAAATGCAAGGAAAGACAGAGACATTTAGTATTCCGTGCCACTGACGAAACTTAAAAGTGCCTATTCTGCAGCACAACCATGTAGAGAGCATTTTCTTGCAAGAGAAATCTAAGATTACCATGTAGTAACAACATGACTTTGCCACCATATTATAGTATTTAAACCATAACCCTGCTGGAGTTTCCTCTCTCCTGTTGTACCAGCCATTTCAAGATCTCTAAATCCAAGAAACAAATTATGACACATTTTCCCACTGGATGCTTTATTAAAATGAAAACATGGGACCAGAGTGTTATGACTAAAAGCTTCAGAGCTTTTCATCTGTGCTGCATGACTAGAAGAAAAAAAAAGCAACATTCTTTACCCCATAATTTATTTTTGGCCAATCCTGGAAATACTCAAGCTCCATGAACTCCAGATTTCACTGATAACAGCTTTGCTTCTTCCAAGCACAGAATGGGATTATAAGAAGAAAATAACACACAATTAAACCTCTTAATTTACAAGGTAAAGCATCAGATACTTCTAAAATAGCAGCTTTTACACCTGGGATGTACCTGGGGTACCTCCTGGCAACCCAACGCTATGGGTGGCCTTATTTGAAGGGTTAAAAATCTACCCTGCATAACTGTGTAAACAGGTTAAAAATCAGGAAATACATAATTCAAATCCTGAACTGAGAAAAAAATGGGACAAAATTCACCGTTCGTTACAACTGTGAATCACATCTTCCCAACTGCACCAACCAAGTTCATTTCCAGAAATGTCTGTTCCAGTTCCATTTTCTGGACTAAGGTAGAAAAAAAATAAAAAGGCCAGAAACAGAAGATAAAGATTTGCTGTGTAAAGAGCATATGCGATGAGGAAAGTTCTTGAAGGGCAGCAAGTGCCCTCTAGAACAGGCAGTGCACAATTGTTCCTTTTATGAACTGTCCATTTTGTCCCTGCTGCTTCCTCCAAACGCTGCGGCTCCAAATCACAGGGGCAAAGTAAATCCATCCGGGGGCATTCTCAACTGCTCTCCCAAATCAGTCCCAACCTTCAAAAACTAATGCGATCCTAAAAGTGGTTATTAAACAACCATATTTCTGCCACGGGCTCTAAAAGCCCAACAAAGCTCTCAGCCCAGTTTTCAAAACAGGAAATCTGAGTAGCGAGGAAAATGACAGACAAGCCGCAAACGCCAAGATGTTCAAGCGCTCCCAGGGTTCTCGCCCATCATGGGGCGACCATCCGCAGGGAATCGCATCCCCACACCGGGATGCTGCTCTGGGGAAGGGGCTGACACAAGTTCCCGCCGGGGGCTGCTCCGGGACCCGTTGCATCCCTCCAGGCAGGGCTAGCATTCCCTCCTGTCCTCCTGGGAGGGGATTTCCAACACCCCTCTCCTACCCACTCGGGACGCAGACGCAGCAGCCGCCAAGCAAGCAGCCTTGCCCCGCTGCCAGCTGCTGCACCGCCTCGGCCTCTTCCTCCTCCCCTCCAGCACCGCCTCAGCCCTCATCCCGAGGCTTCG